AACTGGATGAGAAGTCCCTCTGAGACCTATGACAGTCAGTGGGGCTTAACCTTTACTTTGTGTCCAAATCACCTGGAGTGCTTCTTAAAAATGCAGATTCCTGGGCCCTGGCTCAGTAGGTTTGGGCAGGGCCCAGGAAACTGCATTTTGAGTAGGGTGCAAGGGATTCTAGGGCCACAGCTGAAGAAATGATAAGGTAGTGTGGTGGCAGCCTCTAAGATGGGCCCTAGGTGACCCTGCTTCCTGGTATCCATATCCTGGTATGGTTCTTTCCCACACTGAGTTATGGTGGGCCCATGTGGCCAATAGATTACACTGGATGCAACAATGGGGCTTCCAAATCTAGGTCACAGAAGACACTACAATCTCCGCTGTGGCTACTCTGGGGGAAGTCAGCCACCATGCTGTGGGGATGCTCAAGCAGTGGAGAGGCCTACCTGGAGAACTGAAGCGCACAACCAGCACCAACTTGCGGGCCATGGGAGTGAGCCATCTTGGAAGTGGATCCTCCAGTCCCAGAACAGCCTTCAGATAACTGCAGCCCTGGGTGATGGCTTAACTGTAACCTCCTGAAAGACCTACCAGCCAGAATCATCCAGTTACACAATCCCCAAATTCCCAACTCATGGAGATTATGAGAGATAAATGCTTACTCTTTTAAGCCACTCAATCTTGGTATAGTTTGTTATGCAGTAATAGACAACTAGTAAAAGTGATGCTATGATGATCAAATCCATTTTCCAGTTAAGGAAACTGAGTTTCATGGAAGGGCTCTAGAATTACCTGATAGTGGAGATTCAAAGCCAGGCCAGGCTAAGTTCAAAGCCTGTACTTTCATAGCTATTCCCTAGGGGGCTTGAGAAGGTCACACATCAGCAAAGAGCTCAACTATTTCTCCCTCTCATTGTGTGCAGGTAGGGAAACAGACCTGGAGTGAGGAGTCACCATTGTTAAGGTCACCTGGCTGGCCTGTCTGGGTAACGTTCCCTGCCCCAGGCCCCTGCTCTTGGGAGTGGGAGTGCATTCAGTGTCCCAGGTACCTGCAAAGACAGCCTGGTTTCCATAGCGGCACAACTTGGAACCCTGGCTGTGGGGGAGGTAGGGCTTCAGAATGACCACATCAACGGCCAGTCAGCTAGGGAGGGCTTGGTTTTGTGCATTTTCCAGGAGGTGGTAGGATGTGGGGCTGCCTGCTTAGTGGGAGGAGCTAAACTAGGAGGGAGGAGGGCACAGAGGCCTGAGGCTCAGGGCCTGCCCTCCGTGCTCTGGCCTGCCTTCTCCCCAGGCAGATGGGACCTCCTAACCTCCTCAAAGTGCTAGACTGACCACAGCAAACCCTTGCCTCATACCCTCCATGGCTCCCTAGTGCCCTCATGAGAAAGGCATATTTCCTGCCATGCCCCGAAGTGCTTCACAATTTAGCCCCTTTCCTCTTCCTCCCCGCTGCCCTACCTCAACTTCCAGCCTCCTTTGGGCTTCTTCCTCCCTGGTTCTTATCCCAGTTCCACCCCTTGCCTATAGTTCCTTCTGCACTCCTCCTCTACTTCTCTTTTTCTTTTTCTTTTTTTTTTTTCTTTGTTTTTTTGAGACGGAGTCTTGCTTTGTCGCCCAGGCTGGAGTGCAGTGGCACAATCTCAGCTCACTGCAAGTCCCGCCTCCTGGGTTCACGCCATTCTCCTGCCTCAGCCTCCAGAGTAGCTGGGACTACAGGCACCCGCCACCACGCCAGGCTAATTTTTTGTATTTTTAGTAGACACGGGGTTTCACCATGTTAGCCAGGTTGGTCTCAATCTCCTGACCTCGTGATAAGCCTGCCTTGGCCTCCCAAAGTGCTGGGATTACAGGTGTGAGCCACCACACCCAGCCTACTTCTCCTTTCTAACTCTTGTCATCTTTCAGGCATCAGTTGAGATGCCCCCTCCTCCAGGAAGCCTTCCTGGACCCCACTACTTGTGCCCTCATGGCCTCCTTTGTTTCCTCTATCCAAGCTCTGAGCACACAGTAGGTACTCAATAAATGCTTATAGCACTGAGCAGACAGTAGGTACTCAGTAAATACTTAATAGCTGATGTACAGTTGCCCAGTGGCCCCCAGCTGGGCTCTCCACTCTCCTCTGCACTCCGATCCAAACCTGTCTCCTCCTGGGGACTGTCCTGGCCTTCTCATTGCTCTCCAGCCCCTCCACTGTCCCACAGCCCCCAGTGCAGAATTTCACATTTTGCTGCGCTGTTGCTGCCTGCTTCACTCCAGGGCAGTGGCGGCAGATACCCTGTCAACACCAAAGCTGATGACCCAGAACATGCTTCAGTCCCTGAAGCCCACAGGCACCTGTTCCCTCAGGTTCTCAGGTGGCTTGCACGGTGCCAGACTCCACTCCTGCCAGCCTGGTCCCATAGGGGGCCACACCCTAGGGGTTTCTGACCTCCGACCTTCTCAAGAGCTGTGAATGAACGGAGGGTCTGAAAGGCTAGTCTTTGGTTTTAATTTGAATCTTTACAACCACCTTGTGAGCAAGATGCCATTACTATCATCTCCACTTTATGGCTGGGAAACTGAGGCACTGCATAGTTTAGGCATTTGCCCAACGTCACACAGCTCTAAGAGGTTGAGCCAGAGTTGAAACCAGGCCATCTGGCTGTTGACTCCAATTTTCCTCACCAGCTCTGAGGATAGGCCATATCCATCCACCTGAAATGTCACATGCAATGGGCTGGCTCAGGAGCTCCAGGGCTGATGGGGTACTGGGCCCTGACCTGCCACCTCCCACCGCCACCACTCCATGATGGGGTGCCCAGGCATCCCAATGGGCCGTCCTGCTGGGCTTGGAGCAACTAGTTATCCTAACCGAGACGGCGGTAACTGTTCAACTCTCCCTGCAAGGATATATGGAAAAACTGCGGCAACTGGAAGATTTCCAGACAAAGGGAAAAGAGCTGTCTTGGGACAGGCACATGGCTGGGCTCATGGGTGAGTAATGTTTAGTGCCACTTCAGGGACTCTCCTGACATTACAGGTCACAAAATCCCCTCCTGTAGTCTAATGCACAGAGACTCACTATCATGGGCTGGAAGAACCTACCCCCTACTTACAATAACAATAACTAATAGTTACTGAGTTTTTTCTTTTTTTCCTTTGCGATGGAGTCTCGCTCTGTCGCCCAGGCTAGAGTGCAGTGGCGCGATCTCGGCTCACTACAACCTCCGCCTCCCGGGTTCAAGCGATTCTCCTGCATCAGCCTCCTGAGTAGCTGGGATTATAGGTGCACACTACCACACTCGGCTAATTTTTGTATTTTTAGTAGAGATGAGATTTCACCATGTTGGTCAGGCTGGTCTCGAACTCCTGACCTCATGATCCACTCCCCACTTGGCGTCCCAAAGTATTGGGATTACAGGTGTGAGCCACTGCACCTGGCATTTTTTTTTTTAATAGTCTCACTCTGCCCACCCAGGCTGGAATGCAGCGGCGCAATGGCTCATGACAGCTTCCGCCTCATAGGTTTAAGCAATTCTTGTGCCTCAGCCTCTCAAGTAGCTAGGACTACAGGTGCCCGCCACTAAGCTTGGTTAATCTTTGTATTTAGTTATCGAGTCCTTACTGCCATGCAGTTTTATGCATATGCATGTATATTCTTCACAATGACCTTCTGAGCTGGCTGCTATGATACCCCCATTTTGCAGATGAGGAAACTGAGGCCCCAGTTATACAACTAGGAAAGGCGTGATGCTACGTTGATCAACAGGAAACCCCTCTTGGCATTTTCCCATCAGGGCTGGGGGCACTAACCACTCACACACTGTACAGAGGTGGGCACAGCTTGCAAGCTGGTTCACTTGCTGGTTTAGGGGAAGAGTGCAATTTTGACTCCTCATACCAGGCCCTGGAGTCTGACCAGCTTCCACCCTGCTGCAGGCTGGCCCACAATGCACACTTGCTAACCCAGATGCCCACAAGGCCCAGGCAGGTTGCACAGTTGAGGGCTGAAGCAAACCATGGGCATATGCCCCATCTAAAGGCGGCCAGACCTCATCTGGCTGTTGTCACACTGGAACGTGGGCCCAGTGTGGCCAAGATCTTGACTATTTCCTAGAGAAGCTCATGCTTTTTATGGGACATGCCCCTGCATTTTAATGTTGGCAATTTTTTTTTTAGAGAGGAGGGTCTCACTGTGTTGCTCAGGATGGTCTCAAACTCCTGGCCTTAAGTGATCCTCCCACATTGGCCTCCTAAAATGCTGGGATTACAGGACTGAGCCACCATGCCAAGCCAATGTTGGCAATTTAGAAACCAGGCTTAAATTTTTTTTTTTTTTTCCAGAGACAGGGTCTCTCTCTACTGTCTATGCTGGAGTGCAGTGGCAATCACAGCTCACTGCAGCCTCAAATTCCTGGGCTTAGGCAATCCTCCCACTTTGGCCTCCCAAAGCACTGGGATTATAGGTGTGAGCCATTGTGCCTTAAAAACTAGTTGTAATCAATAGCAAAGACTTGGAATCAACCCAAATGTCCATCAGTGACAGACTGGATTAAGAAAATGTGGCACATACACACCATGGAATACTATGCAGCCATAAAAGAGGATGAGTTTGTGTCCTTTGTAGGGACATGGATGCAGCTGGAAACCATCATTCTCAGCAAACTATCGCAAGAACAGAAAACCGAATACCGCATATTCTCACTCATAGGCGGGAACTGAACGATGAGATCACTTGGACACAGGAAGGGGAACATCACACACCAGGTCCTATTGTGGGGAGGGGGGGAGGGATAGCATTAGGAGATATACCTAATGTAAATGACGAGTTAACGGGTGCAGTACACCAACGTGGCACATGTATACATATGTAACAAACCTGCACATTGTGCACATGTACCCTAGAACTTAAAAAAACAAAACAAAAATTAGTTGTAAAAAATACCATTTTGTAAAACATCTGAGGGCCCGATCTGACCTCCAGTTTGTACTCCTAGCCCCAGAACAAAGAATCAAGACACCCAGAATTATTATACAATTCTGTATTTAGCAACTCGTTTACAGAACGTGTTCCTTTTTTTAAAATTTTAAACAAAGTTCATCAATCTCTCATAGAAACGGTTTGTGTATGTGTGTGTGTTTTTTTAACCGTTATAGGACGTGAACCTGACAAAGTTGTTCACGGGTCCGCTAGCTTTAAGTACAACAGGATTTCTGTGTTCAAAAGACTATACTAAGTGCTTAATCAAATCCCGTCACACTAAAGCCAAATTTAGTTCTCTAGGAATCGGAGTCTGCATGTAAGCCTGGATTTCAACGTTGTGTTGGTTTCAACAGTAAAAAGTGGTATGTTCCCCCACGGTTGTCTTAATTGCAACAGGGTGGTGGTGGCTAAAAGGAGATGTTTCATTTGTTCCAGATTTGATTACTCTGAAAATTGGTCACTGTTTCCTATTGTCAAAATATAAAAATACCTTCATCTGGATAAAAATGTATACAGTGGAAAACTCTTCAATGCATAGCCTGGGTGTATGGAAAAGGTTTTCCTTCAGGGTTTGTGTTTTGTTGACTGTTTGGTGTGGAGACTGCAGCCTGGGCTGGGTGTGAGAGTTGAAATTTCTGGAACGGTCCTTATCTGTCCCCTTCTGGTTGCTGGGTTTTGCCTATATGGTTTCAAAATGCTAGCTACATCTTTGAAACCTCCATCGGCCATCTCACCCGCTGGCATTGCATCGGCATTGATTATAGTCACCTTTTCATCTTCATTCTGGGGAGTCACCCAATTCAGCCTTCCCACGGACAGTTTGAAAAAGGAAATGTAATAAAAACAAGGGAGAGAGATTCAATAACCAATATGGTGGCCGTTTCATCCAAATTGGGAACTCTCACCCTAGAAACCATGCCAAAGACGCTGGAGGAAGGGCTCCTTTGAGTTGGGGGTTGAGTCTCTGCTCCCCAACAGGTCATGCGTTGGAAGGTAGGAGGGTAGATTTGGAGGCTGGGATATGGTGAACATGCTGCGATGAACTTGGCCTTCCAGAGTTCTGCATGGACTTGGAGTTGCAGATGCCTTCCAGAAACAGCACCAGGGTCAACTTGAGAAAGAAGATGGCGAGAAGGGGAGCTGGGATCTCTAGTTTGATGACTCTACTTTTTGGCGCTGGTTACTAAGCTTCAGTGGTCATGGGATGACCAACACTGTCACTTTTGGAAAACACCAAGAGGGGAAGATGGTGGCCACAGTCTTGCTCTGGAATACCCACACTCCTACAAGTGGGGAAACTTCCTGGGTTGTGCCTATGGTTCACATGGGGAAATGGGGTCCCTCTGGTTCAAATGCCACTCTCCAAGCACCTGCCCCATGCCCACCTTTCCAAAGGATCTGGAAACACTTCTTGCCTATAGATGGACAAGATGGATGTCTGACCTCCATGGCCCACAGGTTTCTAACTAGTGAGACCTGTGTAAGCAGTTTGTTCTGTACCATGCTACATCTCTTATAGGACGGTTGGGCCACAGCCCACATCTCTACAACATTTACAATGGCACGGATATTTTGTGTTATCAAGCTTGCAAAACAGACCACCAGAATGAAACACATCCTCAACGGCATCAAGATTTTCGTTTAGAGTCTTTTGGACTTTCTCTTTTTTAGCATAGTTTCTGGAAGGGCAGTAGCAATGCGCTGTGTCTCACAGACAGATGTGGAAAAAAATCATGGTTCAAAGGTTATCTAGATTTTGGTCAGTCTTATAGTGTTTTGTGATGGCTTTGAACAATTGTCTTCTTTTAATCTCATCTAGTGGCAAAAACGACACAACTTCAGTGTATACTTCGCAACAGTTGTGACAGCATCCTGATTTTATAACTCTCTGTAATATCAAAACAGCATCAGCTGGGATAAATTCCAAAGGATCCTTTATTAAAATATCTAAAAGAGGTCTATAAATATTTATTTATTTTTCTAAAAGAGTTTGGAGTTTTCAGGTGAATATGTGGTGCCATTTTGCTTCTGCCTTCTGCAGAGGGGTCAGGGTGAAGAGGAGCAGGGGGTGCCGAAAAGTGGAGGCAATGGCATTTGACCCACCTGCTCACACAACTTCATAGAACTAGGATTACAACAAAAAACGTAAACGGCATAACATTGCTGTCCACATTTTGATGGTTGAGTTCCTCCCTCCCTTACCCCACCCTGTTGAGGAGAGTGAGTGAGAAAAGGAAGGTAGTTACCAGGGTATGTCCCTTGCCCCCTCACCCTGCTTTCAGAACTCCCACTCCAGGGCCTCCTCCCGATTGGCAGCCCGCTCTAGTCGGTAAATGATGCTGTTCAGGTTGGCCATTTTTTCATGCCGCCGCTGCAAGTTGGGGTTCACCTTGGCACTGGGATGCAAGGCTCCAGCCGTGTCAGCAGTGGGGCTGGCACTCGGCACTTTGGCAGGGGGGGCGCCAGGAGGCGATGGGGAGATGGGAGCTGAGGAGGAGGGGATAGGTGACACAGACATCATGAGGCCTGGCGAGGAGGCAGCTGAGGGCGAGTTCAGTGACACCTCCAGGCTGCAGCGTGAGGACTCTGAGGCTGACTTAAAACTTAAAGGGTCCGGGTGAAGCCGCTCCCCAGCCTCACTCTCCTGGTGGGGATGAAGTGAGGGACAGTCTGGGGTGGATCCACCTGGAAGGAGGGGACTGGGAGCCACTTTTGGGAGTCCGTCATTACCCGGAGGGTCGGGATGCTCCTCTTTGGGGGGACCTTGGCCTTTGTCTGGCTCCCCTAAGTCCTGGGGCTGGCTGCCTGCCTCTTCCTCAGCATCCTCCTCTGTCTGTTCCTGCTTGATCCTCACTTGGGCCTTGTCCTGGGTGGTCAGGGGTGTGCTGTTCTCCTCAGGGCCCTCCTGAAGCTCCAGTTCCTTCATGGTTGGCTTCTGGTCCTCAGTCTCAGAGTCAGTGCTCTGCAGGGTGGGGTCCGGGTGGGAGTGGCCTGGCGGTAGGATTCCAGGACCCCCACTTGGGTCAAGGTCTGGCTCATCCTGGGTCCCCTCCACCAACATCTCCCGGCGCATCCGGGACCTGGGGCAGAGACGACGGTGAGCCTGGGGCTGGACAGGGGACACCCAAACCCTGGACTCCATCTGCATACATGGCATTTTGATCCCACCCACTGCCCTGGGGCTCTCTAGGCACTAAGCCTCCATACTTGCACCATCTCATTAAGTCTTCTCAACAACACCACAAGGTGGGTGCTATTATCATCTCCACTTCACAGGAAACAAGGCTCAGAGATGTTAAGTGACTTGTCCCAGGTCACACAGCTAGTAAGTGGCAGAGCCGAGACTTGAACTCACGACTACTGAATCCCAAAGCAGATGATCTAGACCTGTGCTGGCCAACATAGCAGTTACTGGCCCTACATGGCTCGAGGGCTTGACATGAGGCTAGTCCAGATTGACATGTGCTGTAAGGGTACAATACACACCTGTTCTTAGGCTTAATACAAAACAAAGTGAAAGGTCTCATTAATAATGTTTATATTGGGCTAAATCAAATAAATGATTATGATTAGTTTTATCTCTTTTTTATGAGACAGTCTCACTCTGTTACCCAGGCTGGAGTGCAGTGGTGCGATCTTAGCTCACTGCAACCTCTGCCTCCCGGGTTCAAGCAATTATCCTGCCTCAGCCTCCTGAGTAGGTGGGATTATAGGCGTGTGCCACAATGCCTGCGTAATTTTTGTATTTTTAGTAGAGAAAGGGTTTTGCTATGTTGGCCAGGCTGGTCTTGAACTCCTGACCTCAGGTGATCCACCCACCTTGGCCTCCCAAAGTGCTGGGATTACAGGCTTGAGCCACTGGGCCCAGACCCAATTATTTTCTTACAGCGAATGAGGTCAATAAATTTTAAATAACTTCTCCAAGGTCATGAAGCAACAGGGGTTTCTGTTTCCTTAGCACCTTCAATGCTGGGGCTCCCTGGCCATTTATGTGAACAATAAATTACACTAATATAGACTATTAGCAGCTATATAGTTACAAACATAATCATAATGGGCGCTTTATTGTGTTGGGCACTAGGCTAAGCACTTTTTGCTGTTTTCTTTTTTCTTTTTTTTTGAGATGGAGTCTCGCTCTGTTGCCCAGGCTGGAGTGCAGTGGCGCAATCGCGGCTCACTGCAACCTCTGCCTCCCGGGTTCAAGCAACTCTACTGCCTCAGCCTCCCGAGCAGCTGGGATTATAGGTGGGCACCACCATGCCTGGTTAATTTTTGTATTTTTAGTAGAGACGGGGTTTCACCATGTTGGTCAGGCTGGTCTTGAACTCCTGACCTCAAGCAATCCTCCATTCTCGGTCTCCCAAAGTGTTGGGATTACAGGCGTGAGCCACCATACCCAGCCTGTTTATTTCATTTTCTGTTAGGTTGGTGTAAAAGTAATTGGATTTTCTGCCTTTTTTTTTCCTTTTTTGTGTGACTGCTTTTTTTTTTTTTTCCCCCAAGATGGAGTCTCACTTTGTCGCCAGGCTGGAGTGCAGTGGGGGCACGATTTCAGCTCACTGCAACCTCTGCCTCCTGGGCTCAAGTGATTCTCCTGACTCAGCCTCCCGAGTACCTGGGACTACGGGTGCGCGCCACCACACCCAGGTAATTTTTGTATTTTTAGTAGAGAAGGGGTTTCACCATGTTGGCCAGATGGTCTCGATCTCTTGACTTTGTGATCTGCCTGCCTCAGCCTCCCAAAGTGCTGGGATACAAGTGTGAGCCACCATGCCTGGCCTTTTGTGACTTTTTTAAATGGCAAAACCATTTTTTAAAAAAAATGGCAAATCCTTTAAAATGGATCAAGAAACATTTTTAAAAAAATGGCAAAAACCAGCTGGGTGCGGTGGCTCACACCTGTAATACCAGCACTTTGGGAGGCCAAGGCAGGTGGATCACTTGAGGTCAGGAGTTCTAGACTACCCTGGCCAACATGGCAAAACCCCGTCTCTACTAAACAAAAACAGAAACAAAACAAAACAAAACAAAAGTGGCAAAAACTGCAATTACTTTTGCACCAACCTAATATAATAATCTCATAATGATACACTAATCTGATTTGCATTGATAAAGGAGACCAGGCTGAGAGGGCACAGGAATTGGCATGGTCACAGGGCTCTGAACCCAGCAGTCTGGCTTTTATTTTCTTGCCCCTGCCTCTCTGCCCAGGTCCTGTGGGGCCCCATCCCAGGATCCTGGGCCTGGAGGAACTGTGAGGGATCATCTAGTCCATACCGTCTCTCAATCCCCAATCCCCCCACAAAGGTGACCTTGCCCACCTTCCAGAGTTCTCCCCCATCTCCCTCAGCTCCCTCCAATGGGAAGAGCTTCGATGGGGAGGGACTTTGTCTGTTTTCTGTGGCATCCGGTACAGAGTAGATGCTCAGTAAACATTTACCAAATGAAATAATGTGTTCTTCTGTAATTATAACCCTTTGAGAGTTCTTTGAGAGTGGAATTCTCTCTCCTCCTTTGTGCAAACTCCTATTCATCCCTCAAAACCCATCTCAAATACCACTTCTGTAAAGTCCTCCCCAGGCGGAATTCCCTTTTCCCTTAGCCCCTTGTTCCTTCCTGTTTCACAGTATTTACTAGATTATAAGTGAAATGCTCTGTTTTGTGACTGTAAGGTCCTTAAGGGCGGGGATTGGTTCACTATGCATACATTAGAAACGTTTGTTGAACGAATATGTTGGATAGTAATGGAGTGCTCAGTTCCTGTGGGGAATCAGAGGCGAGAAGATGTCCCCATATCCCCCAGGGAAGGAAGGAAATGAGCAGGCTTTAAGGACCTATGTCATTTGTTATTTGGCAGGCTCTGTTCTGAGCCAGATGATAAACCATATTTTATTTTATTTATTTATTTGTTTGAGACAGAGTCTCACTCTGTCACCCAGGCTGGAGTGCAGTGGTGTGATCTCAGCTCAAAGCAACGTCCACCTCCCAGGTTCAAGTGATTCTCGTGCCTCAGCCTCCGAGTAGCCGGAATTACAGGCCCCTGCCACCATGCCTGGCTAACTTTTCTATTTTTAGTAGAGACGGGTTTCATCATTTTGGCTAGGCTGGTCTTGAGCTCCTGACCTCAGGTGATCTGCCCACTTTGGCCTCCCACAATGCTGGGATTACAGGTATGAGCCACTGTGACTGGCCCAAACTGTATTTTATAATGCGTTTATACCCAGAGTTATTTCATTTGATCTACAATCAAACATTGCGGGATAGGTATTAGGTTCCTCATCTGTAAAATAAGGGTGAGACTTGGAGAAGTAAAATGACTTATGGAGGGATTGGGGACTGAGAGAGGGTACGGACTCGGGTCTGTGGGCCCCTGGTGCCCAGGAGAGAGAAGATGCTCAGTTGCTCCTCCCACCAATCTCCTCTTTCCTTGATCCCTTGGGGATCAAGAGACATTCTCTTCCCCTAGAATGGATGAGTGGATTTTCTTCTGTGGTACCATGTGAGTACCAGAGACTTTTCCTGCTCAGGAAGCTTGGCAGGGGTGGGGTGGGGGGTGTTCCTCAGAGATGGTCCCTGAAATTCCCCCATCAAGCATTCTTTACAGGGGTCTCCTCAGAGCCAGCCCTGGGACTAAACTCCTAGGAAACTCAACCTACTGCAGGCCAGTGACTTGTGAGAACAGGGAGTCAAGAGTGGGAAGAGCTATGGAAAGCAGCAGCCATTGAAGTAGGAATCACCCACTCCCTGAGGTAGTGGAGCCTGAAAAGGATATCAGGGGGGTTTCTTTTGGTTTCAGCGGTGGGAGGGGCCAGGAGCACGAAATCAGGGATCCAACCTGAGGCTCAATGAATAGTCAGGGTTCCTCAGGCCTGTACCCCCAAATACCTTTCCCTGTCCCTTCTTTGAGGCAGACACAGGGCAAACAGGGTGAAATAATAATAAAAATAATGACAATAATCACATCAATACCTACCACATACTATGTGCTGGATATTTTTTTGTTTTTTGGAGATAGTCTCACCCTGTTGCCCAGGCTGGAGTATAGTGGCATCATCTCAGCTCACTGCAACCTCCGCCTCCTGGGTTCAAAGGATTCTCCTGCCTCAGCCTCCCACATAGTTGGGACTACAGGCATGCACCACCATGCCTGGCTAATTTTTGTATGTTTCGAAGAGATGGGGTTTCATCATGTTTCCCAGGCTGATCTCAAACTCCTGACCTCAGGTGATCTGCCCATCTCAGCCTCCCAGAGTGCTGGGATTACAGGTGTGAGCCACCGTGCCTGGCCTACATGCTAGGTATTTTATGTAACTATGTTAGTCTATCAAATCCTTTGTGCAACTCGATGAAGTAGATCCAGCTACTGTCCACCCCATTTTACAGGTTAGAAGACTGAGGCTCAGGGAAGTGAAGAAGGCTCCACAGCTGAAAGTAATGGAGCTGGGATTTCTTCCACATTTGCCTGTGATTTACTTTTTTTTTTTTTTTTGAGATGGAGTCTTGCTCTGTCGCCCAGGCTGGAGTACAGTGGTATGATACTAGCTCACTGCAACCTCTGCCTCCTAGGTTCAAGCAATTCTCCTACCTCAGCCTCCCATGTAGCTGGGATTACAGGTGCGCACTGCCATGCCAGGATAATTTTTAAATTTTTAATAGAGACAGGGTTTCACCATGTTGGCCAGGCTGGTGTCAAACTCCTGACCTCAGGTGATCCACCTCAGTCTCATTTTTCTTGTTTTTGAGATACGGTCTTGCTCTGTCACCCAGGCTGGAGTGCAGTGGTGTGATGGTAGCTCACTGCAGCCTCCGCCTCCTAGGCTTACGCAATCCTCTCACTACAGCCTCCCAAGTAGCTGGGACTACAGGTGTATGCCACTGCACACAACTAATTTATTTATTTATTTATTTATTTTGTAGAGAAGTCTCCCTATGCAGCTGGGCTGGTCTCGAACTCCTGGGTTCAAGTGATCCTCCCGCCTTGGCCTCCCAAAGTGCTGGGATTATAGGCATGAACCACCGTACCTGGCGCTGTGTTCTATACCTAAGTGCCTATGTGGTGGGGTCTCCCATCTCCCAGAGGCTATGTGGGGCTCCCTCCAGGCTCTCGGATGGGGAAGGGGTCCCACCTGGGTTCTGCCACCCGCCCTGTGGGCATGCCCCCATAGTCCCACCTGTAGTTGTGGAACCAGTTGATGACGGTGTTGGTCTTGAGGTTGAGCTGGAAGGAGAGGAGCTCGATGGTCTGCTGTGAGGGGTAGGGTTCCAGCTGATAGGCCTTCCGCAGCGCCTCCTTCTCCTCAGGTGCCAGCACCACCCGGGGTTTCTTGATCTGCAGGAGGCTCAGGTCCTGGGGCTGTAGGCAGGGGCTGGGGCACTCCGAGCGGGTGGCCGGGGACTCACTGTCTGAGCCGGTGCTGATGAGGCCATAGCGACGTTTCAGGTAGGCTGGAGCCGGGGAGAGAGGGAGGGCTGAGAGGTGCTGTCCCCACCCCATCAGTTCCTGGCCAGCAGGAGTCCCACGGTGGGCGTGCATCTGTCAGGCCCACTAGGAGGAAGCCATCATGCCCTAAGCTTAGGGGTACGCCCCCCAGCCTTTCTCCCTCCTCACTCTCCTGCATCTCTCAACTCCCACCCCCACGCCACAAGATGCTAGCCTGACCTCACCAGCCAGGGAGCCCTGGCACGAGCGAAGACTTAGGATCATTCCTCGCACATAGGAAGCACTCGAAACAGGGTGCTCCACGGTATTCTCTCTGTTTTTGTAGAGACAGGGTCTCACTCTGTCACCCAGGCTGGAGTACATGGGTGCAGTCATAGTTCACTGTAGCTTCAACTAACTAGGCTCAGGCAAACCTCCTGCCTCAGCCTCCCAAGTAGCTGGGATTACAAGTGTGAACCACCACCCCTGGCTAATTTTTAAATTTTTTTTTGTAGAGATGGGGTCTCTCTCTGTCACCCAGGCTGGAATGCAGTGACACAATCACAAGTCACTGCAACCTTGAACTCCTGCCTTCAAGCGATCCTCCTGCCTCAGCCTCCTGAGTAGGTGGGACTACAGGTGCATGCCACCATACCTGGCTCATTGAAAAAATTGTTTTGTAGAGTGTTTGAAATGCTTCTTCCCTGGTGCCGTAAAGAAATAGCACTTGAACATAAATTTAATTTACTTAGCAAGACCATTTTTATACTTTCTGCTGAAAGGGTACACTTACTTGCCAGCAGTTTTGCCACAAGAGTACACTGAACAAAGGAAACAGAGTCATTTATAATCTGATGTGTCTACCCTACTGCTGTGTCCGGTTTCCACTGACTGGAACGGGATCTCACATTCTGTATTTGTCCTGACTGGCTAGCAACTTAGAACTTTTTAAAAGAGGCAAAGGCAGAGGAGAACAAAGGAAGGAGGAAGTAACTTGTAGAATGCTGAGAAAGGTAAAAACACCTTCAAAGAAGGAAAAGGAACAGACTATGACCTAATGCTTGTTTGGACCAGTATAGGCATGCCAGGGCAAATATTTAGGCTAAATTGTGGGAGCAAACATAAAGTACATTGATTTCTTTATCATGGCTAGCAGATATTTAAGAATGTTAGCACAGATCTTTGAATAAATTTTCCTTCTAAGAGAAGTTACTATTTATTCCTAATTAAATCGGGAGGAAAGTCTTTGAAGAGGAACTTTTACTTTATTTTTTACATAGAGGTAGGGTCCACTCTGTTGCCCAGGCTGGTCTCAAACTCTTGGCCTTAAGCAATCCTCTCACCTTGGTCTTCCAAAGTGCTGAGATTACAGGTATGAGCCACCACACCTAGCCTACGATATCCTCTAGATTGTCAGAAGCATCCCTGAATTTCTGAACAGCCATTGGTGGGCGGTAGGTAAGGACACTAATTTAAATGACTTACTGACTGCATGGTGCATCTTGACCCCAAATCATGAAGATGTTGGGGAGAAAAAAGCCCACTTCAGAATGAAAGAAGTAAGGTATGAGGGTCTTACTTAATCCTCACAGTAATGCTTTGTGGCTCTGAAAATGCATTTTTAAGATGGAGTCTCGCTCTGTCACCCAGGTTGGAGTGCAGTGGCATGATCCTCTTGGCTCACTGCAACCTCTACCTCCCAGGTTCAAGCGATTCTCCTGCCTCAGCCTCCCAGGTAGCTGGGATTACAGGCATGCATCACCACGCCCAGCTAATTGTTGTATTTTTAGTACAGATGGGGTTTCACCATGTTAGCCATCACTTCTGGCCTCAAGTGATCCATCCACCTTGGCCTCCCAAAGTGCTAGGATTACAGGTATGAGCCACCACATTGAGCTAGCTCTCTTATTTTTCAGAAATAGAAGGAAGCACAGAGAGGGAAAGTAATTAGCTCAAGGTCGTCGCACAGCAAGGAGGTAGAAGGTCAAGTTCTCAACCATAGCATTGTCTGATGATGATGGCCCAGCCCTAGGTGCTCTCTAGAGCCTGGCGTGTCCCTGGGTCATCACACGACCTGCCCTCACGCCCTGGATGGCAACTTCAACTGCTCCTATCTTATCTTCCAATGGACTTTGAACCTTTGGAAATACAGAGTAATCCTTTATGCATAGCATGAGACTGGGCGCCCAGCTCAATGCCAGTTGATCTTCCATCCAAATACTAACCAGCTCTGACCCGGCTTAACTTCTGAGATCAGACGTGATCCCGTATTCAGTGTGGTATGGCTGTAGACAATGCCAGCTTATCTTATCAGGATATAATGTCACATAATGTGAGAACTTGCAATCTCCTTGCCCAGCCCTACAAGAGAGGGTTCCTGTTTGCTGGTCCTGTCCTTTGTTATGTAGAATCTGTTATGGGCCAAGGGCTGATCTACAAAACAGGGAGTTGAGGCAGAGGAGGGAGGGAGGGAGGTACACAGAGTTTTGGGAAATAGGCAGTTGGGGCTGGCAACAGACTTTGGGGTAGCTTCAGAGGTGTGAAAGGACACCAAGAGATGGGAAATTCAGTTTCCTTTCCTTTTATTTTATTTATTTATTTATTTTGAGACAGAGGTTTGCTCTGTCGCCCAGGGTGGAGTGCAGTGGTGCAATCTCAGCTCACTACAACCTCCACCTCCTGGGTTCAAGTGATTCTCCTGCCTCAGTCTCCCAAGTAGCTGCGATTACAGTGTGCGCCACCACGCCCAGCTAATTTTTTTTTTTTAAATTTATTTATTATTATTAAACTTCAAGTTGTAGGGTACATGTGCACAACGTGCAGGTTTGCTACATATGTATACTTGTGCCATGTTGGTGTGCTGCACCCATCAACTCGTCATTTACATCAGGTATAACTCCCAATGCAATCCCTCCCCCCTCCCCCCTCCCCATGATAGGCCCCGGTGTGTGATGTTCCCCTTCCCGAGTCCAAGTGATCTCATTGTTCAGTTCCCACCTACGAGTGAGAACATGCGGTGTTTGGTTTTCTGTTCTTGTGATAGTTTGCTAAGAATGATGGTTTCCAGCTGCATCCATGTCCCTACAAAGGACACAAACTCATCCTTTTTTATGGCTGCATAGTATTCCATGGTGTATATGTGCCACATTTTCTTAATCCAATCTGTCACTGATGGACATTTGGGTTGATTCCAAGTCTTTGCTATTGTGAATAGTGCTGCAATAAACATACGTGTGCATGTGTCCTTATAAATTATGCTGCTATAAGGACACATGCCCAGCTAATTTTTGTATTTTTAGTAGAGATAGGGTTTTGCCATATTGGCCAGATTGGTCTTGATCTCCCAACCTCAGGTGATCTGCCTGCCTCAGCCTCCCAAAGTGCTGAGATTACAGGCGTGAGCCACTGCACCTGGCAGAGTATTGGCTTTTCATGGGAGAGGTAGTAAATATTTACAAATTTAAAAAAAAAATTGGAGATGGGGTCTTACTGCACTGAGCAGGCTGGAGCACAGTGGCTATTCACAGCTTTGATCACAGCACATTGCAGCCTTGAACGATCCTCCTGCCTTAGCCTCCCAAATGATCCTCAAGCGATCCTCTTGCCTTAGCCTCCGAAGTAGCCAGGAGTACCCATGCCCCACCACCGCCACAGGCTATAAATATCTTCATTGCTTTCAATTACATTGTTACATTGTGTTTCAAGTTTGCTATTTCATGCAGTCCCATACCAGGCTGAGACTGGACCACCGCAGCCCCGGGTTTATGTGGGTTACAGCTAGGTATGCTTCCGGGGAAAATCTGAGATCCAGTGCTGGGGCCCATCCCCTGTCCAAGTCTTACCTTTCTTCTCTAGCTTCTTCATGTCCCTCAGCTTCTCCACGTTATGGGGGTCATTGAGCCACAGCTGCATGCGGACAAAAGGCTCCCGCCCCTTCAGGCTCAGCTTGTGCCAGGGTTTGGGCCGGGACAGCAGGTCAGACACGGAGCCCTGCGTCAGACCCAGGATGCTTTCCCCAAACAGCCGCTGCCCTGGGGATAAGGGAGGGGAGCAACCTGTTACTCCAGGCTGGGCAGAGAAGCCTGCTCCCAGGAGAGACATGGAACAGGCCTGAGACACAGGGGAGAGCCTCGAGGCTATCTCCACTGACTCAGAAGGGAGGGCCAGAGACGGCAGAGGACCCGCACCTGATGTGAAGCTGAGGGGGGTCTGTCTGTAAAAGAGATTTGGGGGCCGGACAAGGCAGCAACAAACAAAAGATTTTTTTTTTCTTTTTTTCTTTTTTTGAGACAGAGTCTCGCTCTGTCGCCCAGGCTAGAGTGTAGTGGCATGACCTTGGCTCACTGCAGCCTCCGCCTCCCAGATTCAAGCAATTCTCCTGCCTCAGCTTCCCGAGTAGCTGGGATTACAGGCACGTACTACCACACCCGGCTAATTTCTGTATTTTTAGTAGAGATGGGGTTTCCCATGGTGGCCAGGCTGGTTTTGAACTCCTGACCTCAGGTGATCCATCTGCCTTGGCCTCCCAAAGTGCTGCAGTTACAGGTGTGAACCACTGGGCCCGGCCCAAAAGTGCTTTTTTAACTTAAGAGGTTCTTTACTCCTAGGAGATCCCTGAAATTGTCTGCCAACATCATACATACAAATGTGTAACACCATGTTGGAGGATAATTTGACAGATTCCATCCCAGTTTTAAATGTGCACAGTTTTGGAGCAAGCAGTTCCACTGCCTGGGATAGCTGTACTTGCCCAAGGTCACACAGATGCACACAGACTTATTTTTAGAGGCAGCAGGAAAGTGGAAAAAGTCAAAATACCCATCAGTTAGGTAAAAAACTGTGGCGCATCCATGGCCTGAAACACTTTCCAACGGTGAAAAAGAATGCGGGTGACAGAATTATTCTTTTTTTTTTGAGATGGAGTCTCGCTCTGTCGCCCAGGCTGGAGTGCAGTGGCCGGATCTCAGTTCACTGCAAGCTCCGCCTCCCGGGTTTACACCATTCTCCTGCCTCAGCCTCCGGAGTAGCTGGGACTACAGGCGCCCGCCACCTCGCCCGGCTAGTTTTTTGTATTGTTTTAGTAGAGACGGGGTTTCACCGTGTTAGCCAGGATAGTCTCGATCTCCTGACCTCGTGATCCGCCCGTCTCGGCCTCCCAAAGTGCTGGGATTACAGGTTTGAGCCACCGCACCCGGCCTACAGAATTATTCTAATATGGGAAGGTGTCCACAAAATGCTGTTCATTTTTCTCTCTTTTTTTTTTTTTTGAGGCAGGGTCTCACTCTGTCACCCAGGCTGGAGTGCAGTGGTGTGATCTCAGCTCACTATAACCTCTGCTTCCCAGGTTCAAGTGATCCTCCCACCTCAGCCTCCCAAGTAGCTGAGATCATGGGCTTGAGCCACCACACCTGGCTAATTTTTGTATTTTTATTTTTCATTTTTTTTTGGGACAAGATTTGGCTCTGTCACCCAGGCTGGACTGCAGTGGTGTGATCTTGGCTCCCTGCAACCTCTGTCTTCTGGGCTCAAGCCATCCTTCTGCCTTATCCTCCCGAGTGGCTGGGACTATAGTTACGTACCACCACGCCCAGTTAATTTTTGTATTTTTTGTAGAAACGGGGTTTCGCCATGTTGCCCAGGCTGGTCTGGAACTCATGACCTCCAAAAATCCTCCCGCCTCAGCCTCCCAAAGTCCTGGGATTACAGGTGTGAGCCACCACACCCAGCCTAGTGTTCATTTTTCAAAACAAGTTGCAACGAACTATGTGTGTCATTTCATCTATACAGAAAAAAAGGAGAGGAAATTAAGTGTATATATGTTCTTGTATGTGTTCAGAAAGTGTCAAGGAGACATTAAAAAACTGAAGTGTAGGCTGGGCATGGTGGCTTACACCTGTAACCCCTGCACTTTGGGAGGATGAGGTGGGAGGATTACTTGAGGTCAAGAGTTCATGACCAGTCTGGCCAGCATGGTGAAACCCCGTCTCTACCCTACTAAAAACACAAAAATTAGCCAGGAGTGGTGGCTTATGCCTGTAATCCCAGCTACTAGGGTGGCTGAGGCAGGAGAATCGCTTGAACCTGGGAGGTGGAGGTTGCAGTGAGCTGAGATCGCACCACTGAACTCCAGCCTGGGGCTTGGGTGACAGAAGACTCCATCTTAAAAAAATACACACACACACACACACACACACACACACACACACACACACACACACA